ACATTCATATTCCACAACTTGTTCAGCCATTCCCCAGTTGATGAGCATCCCCTTAACTTCCAATTCTTTGCCACCACTAAAATAGTTGCTATATATATTTTTGTACATGTGGATACTTTTCCTGTTTCTATGATCTCTTTGGGATACAGACCTAGAAGTGGTATTGCTGGGTCAAAGGCTATGCACATTGTTATAGCTCTTTGGCCATAGTTCTAAATTGCTCTCCAGATTGGTTGGATTATTTCACAACTCCACCAACAATGCATTAGTGTTCCAATTTTCCGACATCTTCTCCAACATTTATCATTATCCTGTTTTGTCATGTTAGCCAGTCTGATAGGTATGATGTGGTGCCTCAGAGTCATTTTGATTTGCATTTCTCTAATCAATAGTGATTTAGAACATTTTTTCATATGACTATAGATAGCTTTAGTTTCTTCCTCTGAAAACTGCCTGTTCATATCCTTTGACCATTTATTAATTGAGAAATGACTTGTATTCTTATAAACTCTGATACATTGTTAAGGGCATTATAAATCGGTGCAAATGTTTCAAAGAAGTTGATAATATAGAGTATGAATCATTAAACCTTTTAAACAAGAAAAAAAGGTTCTTCTGGCAGGGGTACGCACAATGGATTGGAGGAGGAAGAGGATAATGGTTCATAATTATATAAACAAGGGGTCTCAGTTTCCACATATGTAAAATGAAGATTAGATTTCAAAGGGCCTCTTTATTTCTGAATCCTATGATCCTAAGGGCTTTTCTCACAAAAACTCTATCGGGTAGATAGTGTAGTTGTAATCTCCATTTTATAGGTGAGGGTAGGAGAGCTGGGGTTCAGGATATTAAGTTACTTGCCAGACATCGCACACTAGTAAGTTAAAAGATTTATTGAAATCAATCTTTATTGTTGTTGTCCTTGTAGGTCAGCTCTATTGGAAGCATTCCCCCGCCTTGATCCGCCTCCTCCCGTGACCAAGAAGCGCACCCCTCGGGCCCTGAAGAGCCCCCAAGACATGCTGATTTCACCCCAGCCTGTTATGAGCAGCCTGGAGTATGGGGCAGAACTGTTGGCTGGACCACCCCAAGAGGCACCTTCCACGGTGCCCAGCCTGAGAGAGGTGGTCTCCGATGACAGCCTGGGACCAGAAGGTCCCTCAGAGATGGTGCCAGGGAGTGAGGCCCTGCCCAATGGAGAGGGTCCTTTGTCGGTGCCAGATCTCATCCACAAGGACACTCAGAGTGATTTCAAGCTGAGGACGGCCGAGTGGAGAAGGGCCTCCTCCCCGAGCCTTAGTGAAAGAAATGGCCTTAAACTCAATCTGGGTCCTACTGGCCTGACCGAGCCCCAGGAAGATGGCAGCCCCCCATCTCGGGCAAGGACAACCAGCCTTGACAATGAGGGACCTCACCCAGACCTACTGTCCTTTGAGTAGATCTTCCATCCCCTCGCCCCAAAAGGAGCACCACAGTCCCTCCTCTAATCTGGGAAAAGAAGTCCCTGCCTTGTTTTCCCACTGTCCAGGGAGGTCCTTTCTCAGGCTCCCTCTCCCCCTTTAACCACCACACTTGAAGGCACTATCAGGTTTCTAGGTCGAGGTCCTGCCTTGGCCCAGGAGCTTCTAGACCTGAGTAGCCTCCTAGTAGTAGCTTTGCTTGTGTCTAGATGGTTTTTCTCTCCTGGGGAGGTGGGGGGGGAAGGGGAGGTTAACTCCTATCACATTGTAGTCCCCCTCACTTCCTTGGTGTCTCCCCAGTGCTGTTCCATGCTCATTCATCCTCTGTCGCACTCATACACAGTTGGAACGATGGTGCAGGTCAGATTTCACTTTGATTTATCAGTGATATTTAATAAAAAGTCCTCTTGATGCTGGCAGTAACCCTCAGGAACATGCTGGCCACACTTCATTGTTCTGATGAATACACAAGCCCTCAGGTGATGAGACCAGTCTAACCAGAATCTCTAGAATTCTGTCTCTGGAATGTGGCTCACTTCTTTGCTGGAGACTTGGGTTCTTCTCCCTCCACCCCCTTCTGGTGGTGGGGCCTCCCATTTCCTACCTGGATCTCCATGGACAGCCTGGGAATTCCCTCAGGGCTCAGTCCATCTTGAGAGAGGGGTCTCTCGATGGGTTAAGGCTGGGAATTTGCAATCACATCAATGCAGGCAATGACTGGTCTGGCTTGATGATGGCTGTGTTTGCCTTGAAAGCCATGTACTGTAGCCTGAACCCCAGCAAAAAGATGGCCTTAGGTGTGGATCTGTGGGGAGCCCACAGTCCACTCTCCACTCATCATCTCTGTTCTCTTTGTTCAGGTAGGAAGAGAGGGAAGCTGGGAAAGCTGTTTGCTAAGTTTGAGCACCAGCCTCTGAGCTGCCTGCCCTATTTAGCTCACCCCTCTTCACAAGGGGACAGCAAGTTGTTGACTGAGGTCTTCCTGGAGTCAAATATTGAAGTAGGCCCTGAAAATGGCCCTAACTGAGCCTGCTCAGTTTCTTCCCTTCTTCCTCCCTTGTGGGCCCTTCCAATTTGGGCAAGATGATTAATTGGAAAGTTTATGCCACTAGCTATCCTTTAAGCTCTCATCATGAGGGAAGACAGCACCTACCTCCCCAAGTGAATGAAGGCAGAGCTGAGCAGGCCCCAGCAGAAAATATCACAGGAATGAGATCTTTTTTAATTCCTTTTACAGTGCAAAAGTTGGCATTCAAGGAACTGACTTGGTAAGGTCCTGTGATGGCCAAACCCTTTGAGCTATGTGTTCCCAAAGCTGGTGGGAAGAATGGAGTTGGTTTCTAGCATCCAGAACAATGGAAGGAGTGTCAGGAAAGCTTTCTAGCATTTTTGGAATTGGCCTGATATTGATATCACATGCGAAAAGGATACAAAATGAGTCTAAGTAAATGTATACGCATATATTTTGAGAATCAAAGGTGAGGGTACAGTATGTGAGAGAAGGATTGGAGTGAGATGTGAGAGAGATGGGAAGTCATTAATAGTGTGGTTTTATCCCCTGCCAAACCACTTTTAACCAAGGAGTAGGTCCTGTGGCAAATGCTGGCACCCC